AATGAAGTAACCGCTCACCGTTATCATTACGGGAGCCTATACCATGTTGGCCGCCCAGATGCAGCTCATCTGTGGATAATTTTCCAACTTGAGCGTTCAGATCCCCAGCCAGCACTACAGTGTCCGAGCTTCTTCTGTGGCGAAGCAGTTCGTTCAGTTGGCGATAGAAGTCGTCTTTTACCGAGTCATCGCTACAGTTTGTCGGTGCATAGGCAGCGATAACGAATAGACACCTGTTAGTCCCACACGACTTCGAAGTTTTGAACGAGCCAGCCAATCGGACCGCACACATCCGGCTACTGATTGGAATCCAATCAACCAGAGCAGCTTCAGCCCGGGGACTCAGGGCAATACCAACACCGGCTTGGCCGGTGCTCGAAGCTGCATCGTCACCGGATAGGCGCAATGAGAAAGTGCTGCTAGTGTCACCTGAAGGGGATCGCAGAGTGAGCACAGAGCTCGAGTCTTGCAGGCGGGTCTCCGATAAGCAGCAGATATCGATCGAGAGGGTCTCCAATGTTCGGGCAAGTGCTGCCTGTTGACCGATCTGAAGCAAAGTGCAAACATTGAGGCATGCCAGTCTGAAGGAGGATCGAGGGCTCCAAATGGAAGCCGATGAACTGGAATGGGCCGCTTGCTTGGACATGGGCCTGTTGACAGTGCAGGAATGACGCTCTGCGTTCGCCTGTGAGTTGAAACTAAAAGACAAGCGACTATTGAAGCAAGGTGGGGGAGGGCCGAGAATTGGGGGTTGAAAACAGGGGGGATAACGGGACGATAACGGTGAAAAAGCGCAAGAAGGGGAATAAGAAGATGGGAAGGCTTGAGCAGTAGCATCCAAACCCCTATCCACCCTGCTCGATGCAGCAGATAGGGCACCGTTGATTATCCTCTGCGGTGGCCAGAGCATCAGAAATTTGTTTGAAGTGTGATTCATTGTATTGCGTGGGCAGGATACTGTCAGGTTGCCCAGGCCTAGACAGGAGAACGATTGGGGTTCTCAACCAAAGCCTTTGGTTAAAAAACCTGACCGCAAGGCAGCGGGTTTGGCATTGGGCTACAAGGAGTCCGTTTTAAGGAATAAGGAGCCACCCTCATTTCAACCCCCAACCTGGAGGACCAGGAGGCTGAGTTTGTCTGGCCTCTAACCATTGACCAATCTGGTATGAGTGGCTCTGAAGGTGCAAAAGCACCACCCAGTATAGCTCAATGGATCACTGAGGCACACAAACCATCGCACCACGGTAAGGTCCAGCCTCATTGCGATGGTCTGCTGATAATAGCGTCTGGCGGATGTGCGACCAGTGTTCAGTGAGCGTTTACTTAGCTCAGATGCCAGCGTACTTTGATACGAATTCAGAACATCCGGCTGCGCCTGTTGGCAAGTATCTACGCGCTCATAGCGGTGTTGCGGACGTTCGGACGCACCCGGAGGTCGGTGCAAACAAGTACGTGGTCAGAGTCCACGCTGAAGGTCCAGATCGAGTGGCAGTTTGGAAGGCATACTCTCGCGCGGTAATTGATGGCAGAAGACATCACCAGTATTAGTGTGGATGTGAGAATGCGAATCAGCAGAGCGAGAACGATCGAAGACTATGGTAGTGCTCCGAACCTCACGCTCTGATGGAGCTTTGCGACTAACCAGCCATGATGCAGCTGGTACACCCAGAACGCGAAGAAGTCTAGGAACTCTCGGACTGGACGGTGTTCCTGACTGTGAGATAGTGTGCGTCTGCGGGTTGAACGTGAATCACCTAGACTGGTTTGGTTGTGCTTTTCGCGTGTCTGCTGACCAACTACCTTCACACATGCTATCCATCAACACTGCACTCGGTTTGACAAACCCCCCAGGGTGGCGGAGGGGTGTGAAGGATGACTGAACTGGCTGGTCCTAGTCGCCTTCATGGGTAGGGTCCAGGTGAATAGTCACTACAACAAGGGGAGTTTCATCGGGCGTGGTGCTCTGGCATTCGTTTCCTGCGTCCACCAGATGCGATTGACAGTTATGGTCTAATTTTTGGACTCGAATTCCGATCGCTCTTTTTCGCATTTAAGTAGAATACCAATTGCATCTGCCGAACTCCGGTGCATTGGGCGGAGTTGATGACCCAAACTGAACTAACTGAACGGTTTGAGTACGCGTTTCGGCTGAACCGGATGATACATTTGCGACTACAGTCAATCACAGGCTAGGTTTCGCGAGTTTCACCTATTTCGCTACGGATAATAGGGTTGATTCTGGTAGCGGTAAAATGCCGAGCAGTAGCTGTGCTCGCCATTGTCGGAGACAACTCGTAGTTCTCATACTCTACGCTAGTAAGGCAGAGTTTACAGCCTGAAAAGTGGTGCCGCCTAACCCAACTCAGGCGGTTGTTGGGACTGAGTCCGTTGGACTTGTGATCGTTTCATTGTCTGGCGGTACACATGGTTCTGTGGCATTTGGGCAGTATAACGCAGTGTGACATAAATAAATAAAGATTTTATTATCGACAAAACGAGGCACGCCTTTGGGCATGATCACAATGGATCACAGAGGTATGTGCACCAATGCACAGTCTTGGCACGACTGTCTGCAGAACACTGATCCCAGTTGCGACCCTTGCAGTCGTCTTTCAGGCGCTGTACAACACCTGGAAGGGGTTTGGAGTCGACGCACGCTGGACAGACAATGGTGATCGATACTAGTAACTGTGCGCTAACCAATCTTTATATTAGCAGCACTGCTTTCCAGCAAAAACGTTTACACCGTGTCACTTGGTGCCCACCGAATTCCTCCATGACCTGGATCCAAAATGACCATATTGCTATGATCTACAGATGGCGCACATCAGTACAAGAATGTCGGTCAATTTGGAACACATGCCTGGATTACGACTATGTTCCAGTGCGTACACGCCTAGCACTCACAGTTCCCGCATCAAAAAAGCGCCTATCTTCTAATCTTCTTAGCTATAACTTTAACTCGCAATCTGGGGTTCAACAATATCATAACGAACTGGCCCCCCAATTGTCAGTGATGAATGAGGTTGGTGAGCCGAACGCTGACTGCGATCGTCTCAGATGTGTCATGAAGAAGGTCTTTGACGCTTGCTGTGCACCCGACTTGAGACGTCGTAACTGTGAACAGATCTCTGAGGAATCGATCAGTCTGATCGAAACGCGTAAACAGGTTCCAATGGGCACTGAGTTTCAGCGTATCTGTTATTTCCTGAAACGATGTCTGACAAGGAGTCTTCGAGCTGATCAGGAACGCTGGTGGGTTGCAAAGGTCAGTGAGAGGCAGTAAACCGGTGCTAGTGGAAACAGTGGAGTGCCATTCCAGCTCATCTAGAACACGGGTTGGAGAAAGCCGCCAGTTAGCGAGACAATAGCTGAGAAAGATAGATAATTCATTTTCAGTTTCGTCGACTAGCGCGTTGGATACGACATTTTGAGGAACATTTCAGCAGGTTTGCACCCTGGTTGTGCTTACACCGACCACATACCCACTCTTCGCCAAGTTTTGGAGCAGATACACACCTACAGAAAATCGACTATGATGGTTTTCCTTGACTTCAAAACCGCCTTCGACTCTGGTGACCGCACCAGCTTGTGGCACTCCCTATCCATGAAGGGCGCGCCAGCCAAACCCCATTACATCCTGAAGTCTATCTAACGTGATTCCCGAAGGTCTACAGAAAGCTGTTTTCTGAGTTCCCCCCTAAAAGTAGTGTTCCCTAGAGTTGTCCTATGTCTCCATTCCTCGTCAACCTTGATCGAAATGATCATTAATGACTCGGTTCCTTCAGACTTTACCGGAGCGGATGTTCTCACAAACTTGGAGTATTCGGACGATATAGTTCTCGTTGGGACGGATGCACTGGTTATGCAAACACTATGCTTGTGCGTAGAGCTGAACGCTTCGGTATGTATTTTGCACCTTTAAAGTGCAAAGTGCCGTTGCGGGACTAGACCGACATCACTCCCAGGTTTTAATTATCACTGACAGTGGTGGCTCGGTTCACTTACTTTAGCAACTGTGTTAACTCCAGTCGTCACATCAACGAGGAAGTTACTTCGCGTATCAGCAAGGACCGTGTCGCATTTTAAAGGCTCAAACATCTATGGAGACTGTGGAACATAAGCCTGTCAGTGAAAGGTAGGGCCGGTAAGGCCGGTCTTACTGTATGGATCACAGACCTGGCCAGTTCGCGGAGAAGACATTAAACGCTCGTCCGTGCTTGCGGAATATTGCTCAAAGTTGGTGGGAACACCGGGTGAGCAATGCTGAGGTCCACCAGTTGGTTCTTGGCAAGAAGCCTTCTGGTGCCTCACTCGAGCGTTTGCTAAATCTTAGTAGCTTACACTGGCTAAGCCATGTCCTCCGCATGATTGTTGACCAGCTTTCTCGGCGTGTATTATACGCTGTGGCTGCACCAAGTTGGGTGAAACCGCGAGGTGGCCAGTTCATGGCGTGGCATTGAGGGATGAAGAAATTGACTGAGAAACTTGGTCAGGTTGGTGCGTGCCGTCTTCGTGGATGGGGGACTCGGGATGATCCACAATGATGGTTGGAGACCGTATCAAACAGCATAGTAACGCAGACAGTGGCGTCCCTGCATTCGGTTGCTTGCATATGGTTGTTAATTTTAGTTCCTTCTTGCTTCCATATCTTTTACATTCCACTTGCGTTTAACCCCATTATCTTGCCGTTGTTATTTATTGCTATTCTTACGGTGTGCGTCGTGGCAACTGGAGCCACCGCAGTTCGGTGGTCAACTGAACTGAACTGAACTTCGTAATGTAGAAAAAGTTCATATAATATTAAAACTGATGCAAAGGGACTTCAAATGACCAGACACTAAGCTATACAGATAGAATTGGTAATCGTGCGGCACAGCAACTAAATGTCATCAACGTCATTACACGCTAGCTGAAGGCGAGGAACACTTCGGCTGCTGTGCCACAACCAACTAGATGCGCGATGTAAGCGGAGGACCAAATCAATGAAGCAAACTAACCTGTTACCGAGCTTGGTAATATCCAACTGCAATTGTGTGTCGGGGAAGGCAGGGATATCTGAATTCAAATCCTCGACATCAGAGAGCGCTGAAGGGGTCGGCCCTGATTCAGTGACTTCGAGGGGTGCTACGGAATCAGGTGGGTGGTCCACCATAGTTCTGGTGACGCGTCTCTCATTCTGGTGATGAACCACAGAATCATCGTCCAACTGTGAAAGTAATCAACAAAAGAGTAATTGAGAGCGTGGGTGCTCTCGGCTGTTTGTTTTGTGAAACGAAACGAATAGTAATGAAGGAAGGATGAGTAAAAGGAAGGAGGTAATAGAAAGTGGTGCAAATAGATCAACTCGTACGGTTAGTTGTACCTAACAAATCAAGCCTCCCCCCAAATACGTAGAAGTAGATTTTGGTGTTCGCGGTGGCATCGCAGGTTGTCCATCGAAGGATGTCCATTGTGGCTGTTGAACTGTTCGCTGAGCTTGGCAATTTTGTTGCAAACGTTTCGTCACCAATCGAGGTGACATCATCAGTGCGTAGTGGAGTGGCGTGCAATAGCGTAGAGGAGCCTCTCACCGAGGCTCCTCTACGCTATTGCACGCCACTCCACTACGCACTGATGATGTCACCTCGATTGGTGACGAAACGTTTGCAACAAAATTGCCAAGCTCAGCGAACAGTTCAACAGCCATCTGAACAACCTGAGCTACCAGCCTTCAATTATATAGCCAACCAATTCGGGCGTACAACGCTACAACAAGCTCGTCGTTGGGAAACATTTGCCTGCCGACAAGCTTGCACACGCGAACAGCTTTACTTCCTTCATGAATGCCTGAGAAGGAACGTGCTACCAGCAAGTACAAACCACAGACCGGCGCTAAACCATCCAGCCGCCTGGAAATTAGCACGACAATACGGGAGACGCATGATCAGACTGATGATAACAGATGCCCACAACCGCCTACGCAAATATGAGAGTCATAACGGAAAACAGAACCAATTGCCTCAGTACTATTGACCCACAGCAACAAACAGCGCTGGAATCCGCAATTGAACGTCGAGTAAAAAGCACCAAGAACCGACGGAAGATTGCATTGAACACAAAGTTAGACAAACTGACTAAGAGGAATGACTGCATTAGCAGTGAAGGATGGATCAAAAACCTTCCCCGCCGGCATCTCACTGCAAGTGAAGAGGATGTCTTGATTAAGGGGCTTAACTTCAACGTCAGAGATGCTTGCCCCAAAGACTATTTGGCTAGCTTAGAACATGCATTGAAATCAAATGGACTGTCAGACGAGTCCCAGCAACAGATACGGCAGACGGTTGTCCCAGTGCTTACTCGGAATAAAGTCACCCAGACCCTAACCAAGGAGGAACAGAATGCGCTCAGACGTTTACAGAAAGACGAGAACATTGTAATCCTACCAGCGGATAAAGGGCGCATGACAGTTATAATGGACAAACCGGAGTATATTCACAAGGCCAAGGCACTCTCATCGAGGCTCCTCTACGCTATTGCACGCCACTCCACTACGCACTGATGATGTCACCTCGATTGGTGACGAAACGTTTGCAACAAAATTGCCAAGCTCAGCGAACAGTTCAACAGCCATCTGAACAACCTGAGCTACCAGCCTTCAATTCGATGTCCACTGTAATACCAGGGACAACATAATTAAGAACACATCAACATAATACCTAGTACAGTAAAAATAAATGAGAGTTAATAACTGGGGCACAGGTGAATGGTTTCCATCGAATGATTTCAATTCTGAGTCTGACTACGATCACATAGGCATCAGTGAGAAAAGCGATCAGGGAAGTAGTCACGGTGTTAGACTGACCTACTTAACAAGAATCATGAAGGGACAATCGAGTGCCTTTGGATTAGTTCAATTCAGTGAACAGTTCAATGGCAGTGTGCCGAGAAGTGATGAGTTTTATCTAACAAACATTCTACTTATATGTAGGCACAAGGTATTTTTAAAACTACACGGCGGCGAGAGGAACTCATTAACATCCAGTCAATAGCCACGCTTCTTCATGGTGGTACATTGTGTTTCACTGGAGGAATGATGAAATTTCGAGAGGTAGCGGCATCAGATTTGGTAATTGGCTAAAACAATTTATTAACCGTTAAACAACCCATGACTGATACAATATACGGAGCTCAACTCACAGTATTATGGGTGAAATATCAAGCTGCTGTTTTGGCTGCCGACGACCTTCAGGATAAGTCATTTTGTAGTCTGGCGATTGAAGCATCTAGGTATGACGTGACGGTTCCTGCATTTAGTGTAAATGTCGCTAAAGGATTGGCAACCACTAGTTCCTTCACTAAGTCTTAAAGGTACGCGCCCTGAACAAATGGACAACTTTATCACCCCAGACAGCCGCGTTTCATCTATGGCTCAGTGGCATAAGTCTCTGGCTCGTAGAGGTAATCTCATGGGTTCGAATCCGGCGGGTGCGTGCTACTGACGAGTCAGTATAGGACGAAACAATCGTCTAGTGATTACTTGCATGTGTGGTGGCTGAGTCTAACTGTGACGAATGTTCTCGAAAACACAATAAATTCCCCTACGACTTACTAATAACCGGCTTCCGATAGTTGGTGTTTGCACAAGATCGCCGTCGTTTGTTGAAAATACCGCAGCCGAAACCATGCGGTCAGCCATTGTCTTTGGAAACACGAGTCGCTAGTTCAGCAAGCTTGCCCCACCGTAGATAGCACAGTTCCGTCCTGTGCATGTCACGCAAGATAACGCGACATTGCGCTCATCTCGCTAAGGTTAGCCTGTACTGGAAGGGCACAATCTTAGTCAGGCAACTTAAGTAAACTATGTGCAAACTCGCCAAACCTAGTCTGCAAATCAGCGTAGCCGCAGGTCTATCATCTGAGACGGCGGAAACTAGTGCGTAGACAGGTCAGTTTCATCTATCAGCTCGGAAGAGTGTACCAGAGTGTAGTAAACACTCGTCATGCTGCTCATAAGCAAAAAAGTGAGAAAAACGAGAATACGGTTGATGTCAAAGATAGAGTGGAGAAAAATCACCAATAACATTTGGTGGATTCGTCATGAATTAGACGCAGGAAGAGAATACCAGAGCGCCACTGTCTTGACCGCATTACAAGCGACAAAGCTCTCCCCTGTTGATACGACCATTCCTGGGAATTACATCCATGAAAGCGATTCGCAACAATCCAATTCAGTTTATTTTCAACGTAGCGTCATATCATTTGTGGACCGCCAATTCACCGATGTAAGTTTAGTAGCAATTTATAAGTGGTGTTATCTGTACGCTGCACATTTGTAGCCGCACTGATCGGATCGGTTGGTACAGAGGACCGCATTTATAATCCGTGAATAGGCTGATCAACTGCCAATTCTCCGTTTTTTCTTCCTAGTCTTTACTGTGTACCTCTGTTTTATGGGCATTAGTTTTTATGACGCAAATATCCAGACGCCTTGCTTTAACGCACCATATAACTTACAGCTGCATGGGTTCTTACTAGTTGAACCAAATCTGCGAAGCGATTTTCGTATCTAAACAAAAATCTCTTCACCTATCCGTAAGTTAGATGTTTGCAACTTACTTTATGATTACACATTTGGAATCACGGTTACAACAGTACAGTGTATTCTGGCCCTTACTTGCAATTCTCAATTTTCTGCAGTAACATCAGCAATTGACTAGTTTAGAGTTTAACCCAACTAGGTGCATCGGTGACAGACAACACGCACGAGGGTAGGTGGTCAGCAAGCATGCAAAGGATATGGCCCTACCAGTCTACACGATTCGCCTTCCAATCGTAATGCAGAGCGAGACAAGAGCGTCTGCAAGTATACACCGACTAAAGCACTTCAGTACTACTCATTGGATGGCGCCCCAAAATATGAGCAACACTTCCAATACGCCGGTGATCGAACACGACGGTCCATTGCTGTATTCAGAACGAAGCGATCATTTCTGTAACTTATGTGGTAGCGTTGGCCTCACTACACTGTGCAACGTTTGACAGATGAGCTGGTGCCTTACCGTCGTCGTAGGAGATTGATACTTGGGACAGTCAGTGTTTCACCGATACGCGCAGTAATCAATCCGACGGTTTGATCATCACAGATGATAAAACTACCTATTCAGGTGAATCGGCTTATCACTCATTTGGCGTTACATCACCACTATGTAATCTATGGTGTATCGTAGAATAGGCCAGTAGCCACCAATCGATCGCCTTCAATGTACATGTGCTATCACGAACAACATAATTTTGTATTATGTTTCATTTTATTTTACTCTTTCTTCATCGTTGGCTATGACTTGGCCTATCTCTTGAGATGACACGGTGAAACTTCTAAGATGATCAGTGTAGCCACACAAGGCGAACTGCGTGCAAACCCACTGGCGTTAAAAAAGTGCTATACTCAGTAGAGTCAAATGGGCCGAATGACCGAAGTGGCCACTATAATTTCATATAAAATGGCGTAAAAATAAAGTTGCAGTTGCCGTGGTGACATGCATGCATTTAGGTCCCACAGAAACGAGGCCAGCTTAGGCAGAAATGCCTATCCTAATCGGTTAGAAAAATGGCCTGAGAGATAAATGAAAGCAGTGATGGCGTACACTCTTTTGAGCCACACCCCGGCACAGTGCCAGTTGGCGGTGGAAATGCGAATGAAAGCCTAGAGGGGGGGCTTCCCCGCATGGAAGCAGGGGTCCCCAGAAGACGGTTCTGCGAATGGACGAATCAATAATATAGAGACCCTGACCATTTTTTCACTTTAAAATCTGCTACAGCCCTTTCGCTATTTTGGTGAATATGTGCCCTTCTGTGATTGTGATTATGTAACGGGACTGTGAAATCTTGATCGTGCCGGAATGGGCATGTCTCGTAAAACCCAGAATATACATAATTATTTCGTGGCGGTGCAATCCAGTTGGGTGGCGACCCTGTGAAGTAGAGTAGCAGTATGATGATGTATGCAGTAGTTTAAGGATAAAGAGAGATGGTAAGGCAACATCTCTGATGATTACCACACGACGCCCTTTGATCATGGAGGCTGGTTGCCCAGTGATAAAGATATCTACCAGTGGACAACAACGGCCTGAGTCCGAACCCCTTCTCCGGGAATCTCTAACTCATGAAATAATGCGATAATGAAAGCAGTCAAGCAGTGCAGTGCTGAGAGCATCATCATCATCATTA